ATGTGCCTTCTTCTTGCTCCAGCCATCAATTTATATATAAATGTATATGCAATGTAAACATTTTTTAACGGCGAAATAAATTACACTAAAAAAAAAAAAAAAAAAAAAAAAAATTTTTGTCTCATGAAAATATTAATATACTATTTACTGATATGACAAATGAATTAAAAAAAGTTTCTGTTTGGTTTAAACAAAATAGATTGTCCCTCAATATTGAAAAAACGAAATGGACACTCTTTTATCCGCCTTCTAAAAAACAAAAACTTCCACATATATAAGGGAAAAGGTTACAAAGTTTCTTGGAATATATATTGACGAAAATTTGTCTTGGAGGTATCATATCGATGCTACTTCCAAAAAAATTGCAAAATGCATCGGAATTCTTTATAAAGCAAGAAATATATTAAGTAAACATCAGTTAACACATTTGATTATTCATTTATTCATTGTCATATAAACTATGCAAATAGTATATGGGGAAGCACCCATAAGACAAAGCTTAAATCTCTTTACCTTCGTCAGAAACACGCAGTTCGCGTAATAAATTTTAAAAATCGGTTTTCTCACACAAAACAACTTTTTAAAGAAATAAAAATTTTGAATGTGTACCAACTAAATGTTTTTAATATTTTGTGCTTTATGTTTAAATGTAGAGAAAATCTGTCACCAACTGTATTTTAAATGTTTATAAATTGAAACCGAAAAACAAATATAATTTTCGCACTAATAACAATTTTATTGCCCCCTTTTGCCATCAAAAAAAAGACCAGTTTTTTGTTTCTTAGCGAGGACCTTATCTCTGGAACAAAACAGTTTTACCAAATTTTGATTTTCTATTAAAATGACTTTATGCTTCATTTAAACAGAAACTTAAAAAGATTATCCTTTTATTAGAAAATATTCTCATCTATTTTTGACTATTTTTGTATAATGTTTTATTTTAGACTAATAATTACTAAGTTTTTTTTTTTATAAAAAGATATATTATTTCATTACGAACAATTTATTTTTAATTAAAATTATATTGAAAAAGTGTAAATGTATTATATTTTTATAGGGCTTCATGATAAGATCCTCATGATTTTCTAGAAGTCCTGCCGTTGTTGCTGCCAAATGTAAATGTTAATATATATACTCTTATGGTTATTGTAATTATACATATATACATATAATTGTAACTATATTATCTGGTTATTGTAACTATTCTTAAACGGCGAAATAAAAATCTAAATCTAAAAAATCTAAATCTAAACCTGGAACTAAAAAGACCTAAAATTTTAGCTACACCTGCCCCAAACTTGAGAGCAACAAGTTGATAAATTTAATCTTTATACTACTCTTAAATAAATCTATATTTATCAATAAATTTTAAAATTCATACAAAAACTTTTTAGCTTTCAAAAACTGACCGTAAAAAGTTTGAACCCCCCTAAATTTGAGAGGGTTGCAAATTTTATCAGGCCATAATTGTTGAACGCGAAGAGATTATTGTTTGAGTTTTAAAATTTATCGATGAATATAAACTTGATTAAGAACAGAAAACAACAAGAAAAAATTCCGCGGTGCTCCGTGATAAGACCGTAAGGACTTCTTGGGGCACCTAAATCAACATTAAAAAAAAAAAAACAGTGGAAAAAATATTTTGTTTCATATTTTTCTACTATTCCCAACTAATTATTTTATAACTTGTTGCTCTTACGTTTAGGGCAGGTGTAGCTTAAATTTTAGAGCTTTTTTGTTCCCAGGCTCCAATTGTTGCAATTGTTTACAAAGCATCCTTATTTGATATAAGTATAAACATATAAATTTTTGGAGTTTGCTCCATGTCTGGAGGTTAGGTATCTTAAACATCAAAAAAAGCTGCGTGCGCCCCTGTATTGGGTTTAAATCTTCATGTGGACATAGCGGAAAGGCTATGGCAGATACTATCAAGAAAAAATTAGATGAGCTTGGCTTAAACGTTAACGATGCTCGTTGTTAGTCATACGACAATGCATTTAAAATGTCAGGAAAATACAAAGGATTACAAGCACTACTGAAAAATGAGAACCCAAACATTGAATTTATTCCTTGTACTGGGCATTCTCTAAATTTAGTTGGCGTAAATGTTGTTGACAGCTGTGAGGCTGCATTCAATTTCTTTAAGTTTTTCCAATGCCTGAATAATTAATGTGCTTCTTTAACTCACAGATGGCAGATAGTTTGTTCTGGTCTAGTAGGTGGTGCTGGAAAGAACAGGAAATTAACCATTAAAAGCCTGAGTAGGGCAAGGTGGTCAGCAAGAGCCATTTCTACAAAGTTTAACACTCAAATTACAGTCATATTCTTGAGACAATAGAATCAATTATTCTGGATAAAGATTTTATTGACATTCAAGAAATTACTAGAAGGTTCCCAAGCATTATTACTAATCAATACAAGCATGAAAAATCAAGAAAGAAGACGCGCAAATTAGGGTTTAGTGAAAATAGCTAGAATGAAGTGGTTCTTAGTAGCAGTGACGAATTCAAAATATTGTTTTTTCCCCCAATCATAGACAAATTGAAAATGTGGTTGAAAGAAGGGCTTTTGGCTTACGCGTATTATATACGCATGTTATAAAATATATAAAATAAAAAATAAACTCATGGTTTTTTTCTCGGAAAATCTTTACAATTTATTCCCAATAATGACATTGCATATCGAATTTTTCTTACCCATCTTATAACCAATTGTAGTGCAGAGAGAGCATTTTCAAAAATGGCAATAGTTAAAAATGATATCCATTCTTCAATGTTAAATGGTTGTTTAAATGCTCTTTGTTTAATGACAATTGAAAGAGCACTGTTAAAAAATATAAATTTGTAAGATGTCGCAACTGATTTTGCATATTTAAATCAAGAAAATTAGACAAAAAAAAAAATTTTAAGTTTTTTGCATTCATTTTTAAATACATTTTTGTAGAAATGGGGATCCAAATATTTTTGGGCTCCCGGCCCCCAAAGCCTTTAATCTTTAATGAGTGTCTTGTTTCATATTGATGATTAATTAGAGAAAACATTTTTTAAAAATCGTTTGGAATTATTTCATTTTGATGTTTAAACATAAATAACAAGTTGTGGTATATATTTAGTTCATATGCGTTTAGAGTATTTATTTCCTTGAGTAACGGCTTAGCACTTTCGTACCTTTCTGCGCCCAAAACTAATCGACTCGCTTGTTTTTGTTTTGGATAATTAAATGTTCATCAAAAATTATTCCAAGTATTTTCATTAAAAAAAAACCTTTTTATTTTAATATTTTTAATTGTTAGTTCTAGTGGAAGGTTTTTAGATTTAGATGGTTTAGCAAACAAAATATATTTAGTTTTATCATTATTCAATGAAAGTTTATTTGCTATAAACCACTCATTAAGATATATTAGTTCGGTGTTTACACAATGAAAAATATTTTTTAAGTTTGATTCTAAAAAGAAAAGATTAGTGTCATTAGCAAAAATAATAAAATTAAGTATTTTTGAGGACAAATAAATATCATTTATATTAATTAAAAACAACAAAGGTCCAAAGGTATTGATCCTTGTGGAACACCACAACTTATCAATTCAAATCGTGTTCATGTTAAATGATATAGTACTCATTGTTTACGATTTTCTAAATAACATTGCAACAATTTTAAGTTAGAGTGAATTACTCCATAAGTACGTAGTTTATAGATAAGAATCTTGTGGTTGACAGTATCAATGCTTAGATCAATCTAAAAAAATTCCGAGTGTGTAATAATTGTTTTCAATACCATTTAAAATTTGATTAGCAAAATCAGTTATTGCATGTTCCGTGGAATGGTTTTTGCGAAAACCTAAATGTTTATGAAAAAAAATGTTATTTTTTTCAAGATAATTTTACAGTCTGTTATGCATAATACGCTCTAGTATTTTAGAAATACAGGAAAGTATGGAAATTCTTTTATAATTAGATTTTATCGAGTCATCGCCGCCTTTGTATATTGGAATTATTTTTTCTAATTTTAATTGGTCAGAAAAAATGCCGTCATTTAGAGAAAGATTAAAAATTATAAAAAGAGGTTTCTCTATAATATCTGAGACTGCTTTTGCAATATCAGGGTTAATTTCATCCAGTCCTGCACTCTTATTTGTTTTTAGCATACAAGGCGCTAGGCGAAGTTCATCAACTGAAAGCTCCGATTCATCCATGAAGGAATCTGATTTTTTGTATAAAGATTCAAATGACGTCTTGATTCTTGACTGACGTCTTGATTCTGAGAAAGAACTCTTATCACTGCACCATGGTTGCAATCATTTTTTCGCATTTTCCTAGTAATTGTTACAAATTGTTCCTTATATGAAGTAATTTCATATATAATGCATAATGATTACGTATTTTATTGATAAAATGAAAAAATATTTCACCACAGATTCTACTTTGATAATAATAATGATTTCATTAAATTTAACAACTGATTGTTTTGTCAAATAACTTTTATTGAAATGGAAGTAGAAAGCCAAATATTTATAATGAAAAAAAGTATTAAGTAATTCGAAATCAGCATAAATAATTAATCAAAAAAAAGTGGTTTAACTACTCAAAATGAGAAAAAATCAATTTTGGACCCCCTCCCTCCTTAGTTCCATTGTACGGAAAAATGAAATATAGAAACCGTGAATTTTTGGGGAGAAAGTCCTTTCTTTTTTAAGGCTTTCTCCGTTGAATTTTACGGAAAATAGAAACTATGGAAACCGTGAGAAAGTGTTGTCACTTGCACCGTTGAATCTAGGGCGAAGTAATAAAAAACTTGTCATAGGAACACGCGGTTACCTCACTACTTGATGTATTTTTATAGGTATGGAAAATTTTTACACTTTTTTATAGCAACATAAAGAAATTACCATCACGCTTACTTGTCTAATATTACAGCAATATCAGTGAAACATTTTATTCTTTCTAAAACCAATTTTCCTTGAACGGAAGAAAAAAAATTTAAAGTTCATAAACATCACTAGATTTTTATTCGGCAGCTCTTTTATTGTCAATAACCTAAAAACATATACATAGTTTGAACTAAATATAGTTTTTCATGACAAGCTTCCAGCAAACAGATCGGTAAACTATAAAGGACGATGCGAGAAAGTTTATGAGGTTCTTAGATTATTTTAAAAATAGATTCGAAAAGTATTAGCTTAAAAATATTTGTCAAATAAATAAACAACCTGTTTATACTTAAAACACGATAAAACAAAAATTTATATAAAAATTTAAAGTTTTAAGAATTGAACCCTCTTTTTTAACTTGCTCTGCGTAGTATTTGGTTTACGTTTAAATTTAGAAAGATCATCCTTTACTTCTGTCTGAAGTCTATTAAAGAAATCACTACTTGATTTGATACTTTTATCCGAATTTTTTTCGTTTACAATTGTGTTTCTTACGCCTTTCTTTAACTGAGCAACAGCGGCTTTTTTCGAAGAACTTTTGTCAATTTTTCCTGACTGAACTTTTAACTTCTCTTTGCGTTCTTTTTCTTTTACTGCAAATTTCTTCTTAATTTTTTTCTGACGTCTTTCGTGTTTACGATCTGTTTCGGATTTTTCGCCCTCGCCTTTTATATCGCGAGTCTTTTTGTCGAATATTTCCTCTGGTGCCAACTGTGATGCTTCACTCATAGTTATTGGTGTGACTTCTTCCATGCGCAGAGATGGTACGTTTGTTATAATTTTAATTTCAGGAATCGGCTAAATTACAAATAATTTTAACAAAAACTTCAAAACCTTTTTAAGTAAAACTTTTTTAAGCAAAAAAAGAGGGGGTTTCCTCATACTTACTGGCTTGGGAGTAAAATGAAAGTTTGAAAGTGCATCTAATTGAGAAAATAACTTGTCCATCATGTTCTTTATAGCAACGTGTTCCTCGTTTTCTTTCTCTTCTTCGTTTTCCTTGATATAAAATCAGACATCTTTTGATATTTTGAATTCTTATTTTAAAAAAATATGAAAAATAGCTACCCTAGATGTGTCCACGTAATTAAAAAAAATAATGAAAAACCTATTAAGTAGATATTATTACATAGTTTCACGTTTTATTACAAATGCACACATTTTTACACAAATAGTGTTATGTGGTGCATAAAAACATTAAATGCTAATCCTTCAGACATAGTGTTATTAATTACTTATTTAAAACTTTAAAAAAAAACTATTATGCGCTGATCATAAGGACAAAAAGAAAAAAAAAACGAGCATTGATCTGTTTCGATCTATTTTAATAAAAAAAAACTTATTCACATTTGAGCTAGGACGCTGCATATAAGAAAATATGTTGTTCCCAGGCTCCAATTACCACATTTTCTTTCTAATTTTATTTTCCAAAGTATAAATAACAAAAAATTATATATTTGCACCAGTTATGAAGAATAACCAATGAATAGTTAAGCAAATAAAATACAACTATATTAGAAAAGTACTACAAAAAAAAACAACTTTAACGAGGATTAAAAAACTACTTCAAAGTACTACAAAAGTACTACAAAAAAAAACAACTTTAACAGAAATTTTTTTTAATCCTTTTATTTAAAAAAAAGGATTAAAAGATGAAAAATGGAAAAAAAAAATGAAAAATGGAAAAAAGGAAAAAAAGATGAGGAAGAGCTAGCACCACAAATTTGTGTAATTAATTAAATTATAAATAAATAATTAATATATTTAATAATAATCGATGATAATAATCGTATATTTGATAATAATAATGGGGGAGAGAAGGGTATTGGCGAACACCTAAGCGGGAATGCGAATTAAAGATACCAGTTATACAAATTTGATCATATTTATTGCTTATCAATTAGTTTAACTATTCATTTACAAACCCTCAAAGGCAATTTTTATAAATCTTATTATAAAATAAAAACTTATGGCAAAAATAAAACCATTGGTGTTCGGAATTACCCTACGTACGTTGGGTAATTCCGAACACATCGGGGGGCAATCACAAACACTGTTGTGTAATAACGAATAAAATGCTAATTGTAATAACTAAGTCCAAAATTATAAAATGCAACAACAACAACAAAAAAAAGTGGCTTTGTTTCCATAAAAGCTACAACAGAATGTTACTTAAGAAAAAAGTTGCATAAAATTATCAGAAAAAGTTAAAATTAAATTATAGTAAACAACATCCGCAGCTTCATTATACTACTGCACGTCTGGAACTGAGCATAGGATACCTTCTCAGCAGGTAAAAATGGTCTAATTCATTTTTCTACAATGCTTTCGCCATTACCCCACTTTCCCCATTATTTAATAATAATTTAACTATGGACCAATTTTTTTTCAAATTGGTCAATTACTCGAACAATAAAGTTTGCGTTTTCAACAATTTACCTCAGCCTGTTTAAGATATTCTTTTTCATAAACTTCTGCAAGACTGATTTTACTTTTCTCCTGGTTAAGTTCTGGCGCTTTTTTGTATTCGAAAGGTTGAACAACAGGTTTTACTTTTCGTTTCACATCATCCCATGCCTTTTATAAAACGTTTTTTTTTTTAAATATTGTTTCAAAATATAAAAAAAAAAATTCAAAACATTTTGAAAAACCTCATCTTTGATTCGTTGCTTGATTACATCTTCTAAACACTCTGTTGTCTCTTCAGTTATAACAGGAGCTAATTAAATATATATATATATATATATATATATATATATATATATATATATATATATATATATATATATATATATATATATATATTAGGGTTCGGAAAATGTGTCTGCGCAGATCTGCGCTGACAAAATATGCGCATATCTGCGCAGACGTCTGTGCCGACGTCTGCGCAGACACTAACGGAAAGGAAAAATTTAATTTATCTGAATCAAATGTCTGAAATTATTTTTGCATAATTATCTACTTTTTACAAGTTTTTTCATTACTTATCTGTTTCTTTTTGGTTCGAGCTACATATAATCAATCGATATAAACTTTTTTTTTTTACTACAATTTAAAGTGATTTAGAATCAAGAAATCGTGTATTTTCGTCATTCAAAATGTTTAAAATGGAAAACATCAAATTTTCAAAGCATTTGACAAATCTTGATCGGAGGCCTTTAAAGATTTCGTTAAGTCGCTCAATCCATCGTACGCATCTGTCATCTTGAATGCTAAAGCCTTATCAGGATCTCTGCTCGACAAACAATACACAAAATGTTCTACTTCTGTAAATGAAATTTTGAATTCTGAAACAAACTTAATACTGATATCTGACGGCTGGACGAACATAAGAGGCGATCACATAGTGAATTTTTGTATTAAAGCACCCGATCAGAAGCCTTTTTTTTACACCTCGATAAATACATTCGAAATCATTCAAAATTCATTTGCAGTCGTCGCGGCAATCTTATAAGTTATTGAGAAGATTGGCTTACAAAAATTTACCAGTTTCATTAGCGACAACGCTCCTGTTATGAAATCAGCGTGGAGGATCATCGAGGAGAAATATCCACAAATCTCAGTTAGCGGATGCGGAACTCATGGAGTCAACTTGCTTGTGAAGGACATAGTTTCTACAACTGAGGCCACAAAAACAGTCAAAGATGCAGAGAAAATCATCAAATATGTGAAAAATCATCACATCGTGAAAGCAAAGTTTGATGAAAGACGAATTGCAGCAAATATTTCTCTTTCATTGTCCATGCCTGTATTTATATAATGGTTTAGTTACTATAAATCAATGTACAGTCTCCAGCTATCAAAATACGTTCTTATTAAATTGGTAGACGAAGAAAGTACATTACTGAAGGAAATTCAACCAAAGAATACATCTGCTGATGTTATGGCGTTGATAAAATCTAACCCAATTTGGGACCGCCTCTCTAAGCTTGTCAAAAGCATTGAATTTCCTTCCAACGTGATCGGAAAGCTAGAAAGTGATGAAGCTCCATTGTCTCTCGTGTATGATTACTTTGGTCAAATGCACAATTCATATATGGACGATAAAGACATACAACAAAAAGTGCAATCTCAATTTTCTCTTTACACCAGGTATTGGAATTGCTTATAAATTAACGCCCAAAAATGCCGCAGAAGGTTTATATTTGAATGAATATAAAACCGATTTTATCACTGCTACAGTTGAATTTGCCAAAAAGATCAAACCTGAAATTGCTGACACTGCTGAGAATGAGTTGATTGCTTTTATAGTAGAAATGGCTGCGCTGCCTGAGAGAAGAAAGAAAACAATATTCAACATGAACGCGCGAAATTATTGGAACATTATCGGTCGCGATAAATATCATGCTCTTTACAAAATTGCTAAGCCTATTAACGAAATGATCTGCTCATTGGCTACAGCAGAAAGAGCTTGGTCGACCATTCGATTTATTCACTCGCCACTAAGAAATCGTCTTACGAATGATAGAGTTGAAAAGCTGGTATTCTTGTATACCAATAGCATGCTGATGACTGATTACATTTTTGAAGAAGGTGCAATTCTCAATGAAATTGAATGTCAAGAAATCACCGAATAGGCGCCAGCATTATGTTTTTTTATGCCTGTAAGAATCTTTGAAAACTCCTATTGTTACTAATCACTGAATTTATAATAAAGTTAAAGTATTACTTAAAACATTTTTTAAGTTTAAAACTTTTTTTGTTGATTTCAAAAAATCGTCTGCAAAGCAGTAAATTTTGTCAGCGCCGACGTCTGCGCAGACAAATTACATTGTCTGCGCAGATCTGCGCAGACAGTCCAAACCCTAATAAATATATATACACATATATATGTATACATACACTGTATGTACATATATATACACTGTATGTACATATATATACATTGTATGTACATATATACAGGGGCTATATATATGTACATACAGTGTATATATATGTACATACAGTGTATACAGTATGTACAGATATATACACTGTATGTATATATATGTATATACAGGGCTATTCTAGGAAAAAAATTTGGAAGACGGTACTTCTCCGTCCTGAAAAAAATTAGCCAAATATCGGCATGTTTTTTGCAGAAAAAACAATATTTGTCGTAAACAACGAAAAAAACAACAACAAAAAAAAGTCCTCAATTTTTAAAAAGACGCTATCGAAAACGGTCTAGAATAGCCCCTGATATATATATACATAAATATATATATATACATAAACATATATATATACATAAACATATATATATACATAAACATATATATATATATATATATATATATATATATATATATATATATATATATATATATATATATATATATATATATATATATATATATATATATATATATATATATATATATATAGTACCGCCGAGAGCCGTCACATTGCCTGGGACAGCAACTCTTATTGCCACTCTTATTTATCAAAATTTCCCTATATAGATGAAGGACCACTTGGACATCTGCTGCCCGGAACAAACTGTTTCTTTTGCCCCCTCCCCCATCCTCCTTTCAGCGGCGCGATATATATATATATATATATTTATATATATATACATACACACCCAATTGAATAGGTTTACAATAGATGAGTATTTAAATAGTTACTAAATATTATTCAATACTTTGAATACAAATAATAATGAAAAATCAATATATATTTAAAAGTTTTAAATAAGTTTATTTAAGGTTTTACAAAGAATCATAAAATATTTAACATACAAAAATTTTTAAAAATTATAGCAAAATAATGAACAAATACTCACCTCCAACTGATGTATGGTCAAATGTGACATGCTCTTCTAATAAACTGTTTATAGGACGCTGTTTTGCAGATGCTTCACCTTGCAATTGCCATTCCTTCTTTTTTAAGTTTGACTCTTCTAAGCGTTTTATCTTTTCAGTAATCTATAAAAAGAGTTTTTTAAAGAATAAAGATGATGATGATAATAAGGATGATGATACCAATGATGATGATGATGATGATGATGATGATGATGATGATGATGATAACAACAATGATGATGATGATGATCATAATGATGATCATGATGATGATAAAAGATAAATACTGAAAAAGGTTTAAAACCACAACAGAAAATCAAGCAAATTACTGTGTTTTGATTTAGCTCAAATGAAGATTTAGGCTCCTCATTTTTATTGTTTTTTTCATCACTAGAAGTATTATTTTCATCATTTTCAAATTCATCAAACTGTTCATTTTCTTCCCCTAACTCATCTTCACTAACATCATCATCGTTCAAATCCTTAAACATAACTTCCTTTTTCTTTTTTTTGTTTGACGGACCAAAGAAATCATCGTACTTAGCTTCTTTCTCTCTGTTTAATACAAAAATTATTTACAAAGCATATAATAAAAAAATTTATACCTACCACTGTAATCAACATAAAATAATTCATTAAAATTAAACTTTACATCTGATTGAAAACTGTATACACACACACACACACACACACACACACACACACACACACACACACACACACACACACACACACACACACACACACACACACACATATATATATATATATATATATATATATATATATATATATATGTATATATATATATATATATATATATATATATATATATATATATATATATATATATATATATATATATATATATATATATATCTGATGTATACATTAAATCAGATTGAAATTCACAGAGTATAACTGTGAATGTGTATATATATACACACACATTAGGATAAGTTATGACCACACTTGCTTTTTAAATTTGACAAGCACCACTGGTGGTGGTTATGAATTGGTATAATAAATTATATAAACTATATAAAAAAAATTTAAACACACACAACCTAGGGGTTGCACCATACACAATTTTCGAAAAAAGTTAAAATTTATTTTTACTTTTTTCAAAATAGTTTTTTTTATTTAAATCTCTTAACAATTTTATTTAATTCGTGTAATGGTGATCTTTAAGTTTTTAGTTCTACATTTTTTTGTTTTTATAATTTTAATATAGGATTTTAAGTTCTATATTATTTTGAACAATATTACCTTGCTATAATAAAATTTATGTTGATTTGAAACAATTTGTACAAGTTAAATTTTAATATTATCTTTTTTAATGCATTTTAGTTTATACTTTATAAAATAAATGTATATATTTTATTTCTTAGTAATTAAAAATTAATAAAAACCAATTTATTATATCATGGCAGCATTTCATACTCACAGCAATACTGAAAACTAAAATTTGGGCTTAAAACTTCCAACAGTAATGATTCCTACAAGAGAAAAAAGTTGCAAAATATTGCTTTATGTACGCAGAAATGAAGATGCTAAAGGCAAAGGTCAAAGTTCCAACATGAATGTTACCAATTAGTTACTAGAGAAATTGAAAATTACGTAAGTTCAGTGTTCCAACAATTGAAATAGAAGGAATTTTGTCAAAGATATGTAGATTATAGGAAAAAGCATTTTAAATAAAACTTTAATTTTAATAAGACTTATGATAAAAAAATGATAGTTTTTATGCTAAATTGAAAGCTTTTTACAAAATGTTTGATTTATGTTCGTTTTCATTGCTATGATACAGGAATAGCAAAAAAGAAATGCAGATATACTTTCAAAATGCCAATGAAAGAATGGGATACGTTAATTGGTTGACAAGAAAGGCAGTTAGATGTTTGGACAAAAGTAAAAAACCTGGACCCATTAAAATTGTAACAAGGCAACAGCAGTTAAATGTACATAAAAATGTTGAGAAAGAGATGGATCGCATTACAAAATGGTGAATTAGACAAATCTAATGATGAAAATGACAAACTTTCTGAACTCTATGTCTTAAACAAATGTAATAAAAATAGCATTTTTTATGATAATCATGGCAGATTCTTACCGTGTCAGTTGCAGAGTGAATGCTGCTGCTGTTAATGCTGCTCTAAAAGACATAGGAATACTAAATGAATCAAATATGCTTGATTGGAAAAAATAGAATGAGAAAGACTTTGTGTTGCATTAAAAAAATGTAATCGGGAGAAAATGTGAAATTTTGAAATTATAATGTATTGGTTTTGATGGAAGAAAAGACTATAAAATAATAACTACAGAGACAGCTAAAAAATAACATGTTTGGGGGCATCCATAAAGTACCTCTGCAGTAAAATCACTGATTTAGGACCTCCCTTGTACAAACCTGTATGCTTTCGAAGACCTCCCCCCCCCCCCTTCGTGTATTTATGGTTTTTTTTTTTTTTTTTAAATTAACTCGACTTTTATTTTCAAACATTTATAAAGAATTGAAAAAAAAATTGTAACTGAAGTCAGAAAAAAAACACAATTCTGATTTGTTACACACGTGAAATTCAATGTTGTTTTTTTAAAAAAAAATCACGTTTAGGATAGTCAAACTGCGTATGTACTCACTGTCTTTAACACTCTTTATTTGTTTATCTATTCAATCAGGAGAAGTGACAAATAAAATATCTAAAAATTCTCCTGGAAACAATCATCATGCTTGAATGCTCACAAAAACAAACTATGTTCTACGTTTATATATTTGTACAATACTGCCAACAAAAAAACTTTGACTTGGTTACAATTATTATGCAACACTATTTAGCAAGATGGTTTTGTATCAAATCACATTATTTAGCAATAGAGGGCACTCAAAATTTATGGTATCTGGCTCAATTAAAAAGAAATAAAAAAAACTCAAAAAAAAAGAAAACAAATCCTTATGAAAATAAAAATAAAACTCAAAAAATTCTTACTCAAAGGGAAAATAAATTTTTATTATGCTTTTAGCTGCATTTGAAATAAATTACTTAAGTAACAACTATGTTATGTAATAATTCAAATTTAATAGTTTAATAAAAAGTAATGGTTTCTATAAGTATTAAAACAACTATTACCTTAAAATTTTTATAAAATAAATTTAAAATGGGTTTTAAAAGCTAAAATATTTTTTTGAAATTTATAAAAACCATCAGACAAAAAATAAAATAAATACTAAACAATAAATTTAAATTAATAACTAACTGCAACATTTTAATATAAATGATAAAAACCGGGCTATTTAATTCAAAAAAATATAATGCATTGGCATCTTTTAAAAAATAAATTAACTCAAAAAAATGACGTATTTTATTAACGCAGACATGTACTCTACTTCAGTTTTTGTTTTGTATTAAAAAAATAAAAAGTTAATTAAATTAAAGTTTATATACAATACTGAATTTATATAATTTTCGAACAACTAAAATAATTAGTAAATAAATGGACATAAAATATGGGTCTGACATAGTGACCAATAGATGTCATTTTTTACCGGACAAGTGCCAGACAATGTCTGATGTTTGACGCTTATTTCGAGCTCTGTGTGTATGTGTGTATATATAACGGGTGTTCACTTGAAATCCGGACTGACTTTAAGTCAATATAAATCTGACATAATGTATTGCAATTGTACCATGTGATACATTATTTTAAAGCGTTTAAATTTAGCTTTAATATGCTACATTTATATTTAGATTGAATGATTATTCAAATTGAAAATTTGAATAATCATTCAATTTGTGTGTACAACTTCTATATTGAAAATAAAGAAAAAGGCAAAAAGTACACCGTAGATCATTTTAAAAAAGAAAAAATTGCCAGATTGACCATCTATGATATAATTAAACGTGCTGATGATGATTCTGGATATCTTAGACGTCCTGGTTCAGGAAAAAAAGCTCTAAAAATGACCCAAAAAAAAGTACAAGCGTTAAAATCAATGTTTGATCATCATGATGGCGTTTCTTATAGGAAAGCAGGTAGAAAATTTAGAATATCAGCTTCTTATGTCCATAAAATTATTCAGACAAAATCAAAGATCAAGAAAAGAAAGAAGAAAAAGATTCCACATCGAACTGATGATCAAAAACTGATGGCAAAAACAAAGTGTGGTAGATTATATCGAGCTTTTAGCAAATTTGATTGGATCATTGATGATGAATCTTATTTTACTCTTTCTCATTCATCAATCAACGGAAACGATAACTTCTACACAAGTGACATAAACCTCTGCCCATCTAGTGTCAAATATTATACAAAGCGAAAGTATGAACCCAAGCTCCTGGTCTGGGTAGCCTTTTCTGTAAAAGGAATGTCAAAAATTCTAATCCATCAAAGTGGTCTTGCAATCAATCAAAAAATCTACTTAGAAGATTGTATTAAGAAACGTCTTATTCCTTTTATTTAAGAGCATCATCAAGACAGTCAATTCGTATTTTGGCCAGATCTGGCGACGTCTCATTATGCTAAATCTGTTCAAGCTTATTTAAATGGACAAAACGTCAGATTTGTACCAAAAGAAGATAACCCTGCAAATGTACCAGAAGCAAGACCTATTGAGAATTTTTGGTCAATAATAAAAGGTTTAGTTTACAAGAATATTTGGCAAGCAGAAAATTTAGAACAACTAAGGAAAAGGATAGTGCATTGCTTCAGCAAAGTTGATATCAATCTTGTACAAGAGTTTGCAAAGGGTATTTTATCAAGAACTGATTCTATAAGAAGAAAAAATTTAATTGAAAATAAATAAAGTATCATATTATAGAGAATTAAATGCTGATTTTAAATCATATTTTATTTTTTTAAGTTGATAAAAAATAAGGGAGTTATGACCCTTTAAAGTCAGTCCGGATTTCAAGTGAACACCCGTTATATATATATATATATATATATATATATATATATATATATATATATATATATATATATATATATATATATATATATATATATATAAATATCAACCTTTGAAATTAGGAAAAAAGAGGTCGGCAATAAATTGCCAACCTCAAACTGTCAGAGGTCAGCAAAAAAATTTTGACAAAAAGGTTACCATGAAACATAGCAATGAGGTCGGCAATAAATTGCCAACCTCAAACACATTCAGGCCTAATTCAGAGGGTTAATACATATATATATATATATATATATATATATATATATATATATATATATATATATATATATATATATATATATATATATATATATATATATATATATATATATATATATATATATATATACACACACATACATACATACATACAAACAACCCTCGTAATAAGGGTCGGCATTCGGCAATGCTGACTTAACTGCCAAACTGAAAGTGTTTGAGGTGGGCAATTTTTTTCCGACCTTGTTTCTATGTTTTATGATCAGACCTTTGTATCAAATAACTTTTGCCGACCTGATGCCGACCTCAAATAGATTGAGGTCGGCAAATTATTGCTGACCTTATTTTTCCTAATTCCGAGCGATATATATATATATATATATATATA